AGAGAAGAGAAGAGAAGAGAAGAGAAGAGAAGAGAACAGAAGAGAAAAGAAGAGAACAGAAGAGAACAGAAGAGAAGAGAAGAGAAGAGAAGAGAACAGAACAGAACAGAACAGAACAGAACAGAACAGAACAGAGGAGAAGAGAAAAAAAAAACCTCCTATGATGATTTTATTGAGTCACTGCACGGTTCACGGTCTAATGATGACCAAATGCTCACGTTTCAACGAGTTGCGCGTTTCGTGATGTGAGCTTGATTATTAGTATTCAAAGTGAATATTAAAACTTTGGTTGACTGATTTCATAAAAAAGTGTTTTAAAGAGCAGATAGGACGAGACCTGCACCATCGACGGCTCGTGTTCTGTGAACGAATCTTGTGATTTGTTGAGAAAAGGCAATAAACAAATAATAGATGGTATCCTTTAACCTAAAAACAGAAGATGCATGTGCAGGACTAAGGGAGCAATTATAAAAAAAACAGGCTCGAGGGGTGTAGTACATGACTGCTTTCAATGACACTTCTTCTAAATATTCTCCAACAAAATCAATTTCAGCTAATAAGTCGTCTTTTGCGATGTTTATGCAATTTGATTGCAGCATCTTTTTGACCATTGAGATTTTATTTAACTATAAATATTTGCTAAAAAGAATTGAAACTTTTGAGTTTAATGAAGTTGAACAAAATGAGGTATTCAAATTAACAACTGGTTTCTCTCAACATTGAAACAATCTTACCTCGCAGTGYATTCTTTCGACTATTTTCAAGAGCTTTTATCCTGAAAGAAGTTTTTGTTCAGATTAAATAAAAATAAACAAGTTGCATGCAGCACGTGATGCGTAAACAAACACTCGCACTGACCGATTCATAGCCCAGGCATATACACCCTTTTAATAAGTCCCGAGATTTTGTGTTCTCCGCACTTGACGTCAAATTTATTCTTTTGAATTCCTTTTGTATTGTAAAAATTTCAAAAGGAATAAATTTGACGTCAAGTGCGGAGAACACAAAACCTCGGGACTTATTAAAAGGGTGTATAGTGGAATTAAACGCGAGTGCGTAGTAAATACCGACAAGCAAAGGAGTGGAGTATCAATTACTTTTCAATTCCACAGTCGGTTTGAATGCTGCAACATCTTAAAAACTCGGATTTACTTTGTGTATATTTTCTGGAAAGTGCTTTTAGTTAAATGCATGCAATCATTCAACAACAGAAAACCTAGATGTAGATTTACTAGATGTAGATTTACTAGATGTAGATTTACTAGATGTAGATTTACTAGATGTAGATTTACTAGATGTAGATTTTTGGTTTTCACTTTTCATA